AGCAGATGCGGGGTAGTAAGCGGTGGTTGTTTTCTTCGCTCCAACCGCTTTCGTTTCACTACCCCTCAACTCTCGAAACGGAGTCTCTTTAGGCTTTGGTGTTGATTTACTCAGCAGTGAACCCTTCTGTCCTTGTTTGCTCTTTGATGCGCACACCTGACCTTGGGTCTTCGTTGAGTTAGTTGCCACTTTAGGTTTCTCGGGCGCTCCTACCCTTCGTAGCTTTACTAATGCATTATTTAATGACCAATGTCCAATGTCCAATTGACAGGCGGAGGAAGCTCCTTGGCTTGTAGATTGGCCTGTTTCTTGAGTGTTTTCAGAGAGATCTGGGGTACGGATAAAGTTCTATAGAGTTTATTTTCGTTTTCGTCTCAGCCTCAGCCGGTTTTTTAGGGAGCCGGTGACTGTAGGTTGAGGATTTCTGGAAGTAAAAGGAACAGTGACAGCCAGTCAAGACCCGAGTGAAGCTGATGGAAATGGGTTAGTGCGTGTGCATTTAGACTAAAGACTAAAATAGTTACCATTTCAGGTGTGCTGCAATGACCAGAGCATGGTTCCCGCAGGAAACAGAAGGGTCCGTTGAGCAGCGTTGAGGAATAATCCGTGACCAGTTGCTAGAGCTGACGGAGAGGCATGTCCCCTTGCAGCCTCGGGGGAACCCACAAACCGCAGTGGTGGAAGATGGCCATCAAACACACCATAGGGGAAAGGACCCGTAGGTGGAATGCATTCGTTCTCTCAGGAGGGGATGATCGATGGCTACAATATAAGAAGGCAAGAAACTATGCAAAGAAGCTAGTAAAACAGACGAAAATGACCTAGGAGGTTAAAACCACCAAGAGAGCGCGCCAGGAACCCAAGAGGTACTATGGCTATGTGCAATTGAAGAGTGCACTTTGGAGAACCCCGAAGGTGGTCTGTCTGTCTCGGATTACGAAAAATGTTAGACGCTCAGGAAGCATTTTGAGAACGTCTATAAAATAGACGTCGAGCATGCGGTCCCAAGAGAGCGTTTAGAGACCCCTCCAATGC